CTATGGCTTGCCTTATTTTTAGATGGATAGGCTTTCAGTGGGCACAAATTTGCAGGTTAATTTAGTTTAGATTTTTTCTCATTTGCCCCTTGTCTCGTTTGGCAAAAGCTTGGGGATGGAATTGTTGTTGAAGTTGGGTTTTCAAAGAGGGAAAGCCCAGATGTAGAAAGTGTTGTATATGAATAGAAGGAGAAAGATGAAGATGACAAAAAAGGGGGAAAAAAAATCAGAAAAGTGTAACAGAGGAAGTTTAAGGGCATTATGTAAAACTTGGCCCAAGGCCTTTTGAGAAAAATGTTAATGTATGGTTTCTTAGTATGATTCCTTGCTTAATTGTGCCTGAAATTGACTCCGTTTTACTTGTGCTTTTTAATAGAACTTGTGACTCATTTGTAACATTATTATTATTATTTTTTCTTAAAAAAAACGGTGAAATGTAATGAATGTTGAATATTGGGTAAAATTAATCGTGTTGGAAACCGTTTTTACTAGTTATACATCATTACACTTGTTGTATAAATGTAATTAGGATCATTGAATATAATAAGTGTATGGCGTACAATCAGTCGAGTTTTGAGCCTTTTTATTAGGTTAAGCATGAGGTTTAATGAACCGAATTATCTAAAATCTCATGAAATTATATTAAAACCCTATATATCAAATATAATGAATCAAGTCGAACTCACTAACAAATTGTCTCGTTTAATGGTTCTACTTATAGATGTAAGTTTCTTATAAAAAAAAAGTAAAATAAATAAATTGAAAAAAAATTCATATATATTAATGGTTCATTTTCAACATTCCAAGTTCCAACTGATCTCCATCATCAATTTAATTCTATGTAAGTTAAAACTTTTTACACCCCTACACACTTACATATATACAGATGTACGGAGATGTATAAAGTATACAAATTCATGCACTAGTACAGTAGTACACATACATAATAATAATAATAATAATGATGTTTTATTTCATGCGACGGCGCACGATCCACGAAACACCCAATCAATCCCCATCCATTTTATTTCACGCATTAAATCACCTATACATACATAATTATATCACTACAAAACATCATACTCCATTTTATTTGCGTTATTATTATTATTATTATTTTTTTTTATATATTTGCATCAGTTTAAAATCTACAATATGTTAAAAAATATGACTATATAATATGTTGAATTGCAATAACCTTACTTGATGTAAATTCAATATTATAATTATCATTATCATTATTATTATTGGTATTAGTATTATAGTATATATTAAGAGTAGAGTCATGGATATCATGTCCCCTTGTACTGTCTTCAAATTTCTGCACACACTCACACAGTACTGAATTTTT